TTTTTTGTATTTGAAACAACTCAAATTTTTATTTTCAAAGATTTTCCAATTAAATTTAATAACCGACAGCTTGGAAATTTATTTTAATATTTTAATGCGAACACTGTGAGAAACCGAACCGAAAACCGATTGAAAAAGTCGAAAACCAATCGAAAATCAAAGAAAAATACAAAGATTTGGGTCGAATCGAAACCGTGAATCGAACCGGGTTTCGACCCAAACCATCTTAGAAAATTCCCTTTCCCTTTTTTTTCCAATGCGCTGCACCTCTCTACTCCTCACCATCCAAGCAGCGCCCTCCTCCTTACTCTTCTGTCTTCTTCTTCTTTCTTTCTTTCTTTTCTTTCTTCTTTCTTTCTTTCCCTTTTCTTCTTCCTCTCTTCTTCTTTCTCCACAGCCAGTCGCACCGCCTCCATCGCGCGCAGCACCGCCTCGCCGCTCCTCCGCGCGCCACAGCCAGCGGCTCCGCCTGCAGCAACGCTTCATCCTCGGCCAGATCGCAGCGCCACAGCTCCTCGAGTTCATCGCGCCACCACAGCCCCTTCTACTTCCGGTCAAGCGAGCGCGGCGCCACCACGTCGCACCACCATCCTTGCTGTCCAGTAGATCGCGCCACTTGCTCGCAGTCCCGATGCGCGTAGCTCCGATCTAGCACGCGTAAACATTTCCGATCTAGCGAAATTCAACAAAAAGAATTATACTTGGGATCGCCCGAGTCCATCTAGTGCTCCTCCAGGACAGAATCAAAGCTAGAAAATTTAACTTAGTAATTTTAGTTAATTAAATTAATTTTAGTAATCTTGATTAGGTAATTTAATTTAGCAAATTTGATTAGTTGAATTAATTTAATTTAGTGTTGATGAGTCGATTAATAAAAATATATTTGATTAATTAAAATTAAATTCTGGTAAATCTGGTAATAAATAAAGAATTGTTGGGGAAATTATGATTTATGGAATTAGATTTATGGAATTAAAGAAAAATTAATATAGTTGATGTGGATAAATGTGGAGGACGGGAAAAAATTAAATTGATGGAGGATGGAAAATTTAATTGATTGATTGACCGATGGATGGGCCGGATTTGGAGTTATTAGATAAAATTATTGATATTTTAAACAGGTGGAAAGTCCAATTTTTAGGGGAGATGTTGTCGAAATTTCGGTAGAAAATAAAATGAATTGCGGTAGCAAATAAAATTTATTATAGAAATTTAATTAATTATAGAGAGTAAATTATTGATAGAAATTAAATAGGTTAAGAATAGTAGTGTGATGAATAAATATTTTAATATATATTGTGTCTGATAGAATTATTCTTTTGTGTCGTTCTTGAAATTTCTTAGATCGCTCGGGTCCATCTAGTGCTCCTCCAGGACAGAATCAAAGCTAGAACCTTGCTCTCCATCACTGTGAGTAATAATGAATAATGCACAAATAATGCATGTCAACACTGCATTTGCATAACATTACATTTATATATATTTACATATTGTATTTTCTCATATATATTATGTTATGATCATTATAATTATACTTATGCATAATTGTGCATTTGGATGAAATTGATGTATTATGATAAATGAATTGTTTGATTATTTGTGCTGTGTATATACTGTGCTCTGTTTGGTTTGTTGTGGAGTTGGATGAGTGGCTTTCACCATGGGGTTTGGTGAGGACGGTCGTCATGTAAATAAGGATCCTGATGAACCTGATGAAAAGTGGAGAGTACCGTCCGGCCGGGGTAACTGGTGAGATCGGCGCCCCCGTTGCACCTGAATGAACTTGATGAAATGATGTTTGATGATATGGAAAAGAAAAGAGAGAATGTAAAAAATAAAATATTGAGAAAGGATGGTCCCAGTGAGGATTAGACGTCGGCCAGATAATGGGGGATTCGGCTCCCCGTGCAGCATTGTTGAGAGGATGGGCTGTTTGAAGAGGACGGCTTCGTCGGGTTAAGGTGGAGCCACTGACGTATTTTCCGCCACGTTGATTGTGAATTATTTGAGGTGATATTGGTTTGTGGGTGCTGATATGATGACATAATGAGTGGACTGTTGTGTGGTTCTTCAGTATACTAGGTGGCATTTGCTTGGCCTGTATGTGGTGTGTATTATTGTATTATTATTCACTGAGTTGCCAAACTACCCCCTTCTCTACAACTCCCAGGTACTAGAAGCAGCTGATTGATGAAGCTCTGTCAAGATCTTCTCCGCAGAGTTACAAATGTAAACTTTATATTCTTGATATTTAATTTTGAATGTATAAATTATTCTGTTATCAGATTTTTTTGGACTCCGCAATTATAGGGTTGTGTATTTAAATTGGGGTTTATTGTTAGCACTACGCTATAAATTAATTATTGTGTAATTAACTGTAGGTAAACTAGTAAGCCCTTATTGTGATTATTTGTTATTGTGAATAGGCCCTGGTTAAATTTTATGTATTATTTGATATTGGGTCAGATGTTTGAAAATTTTATAAAACTTATATCTTAAGTCATATGGGCTAGTCATATGGGCTTACTGTTTTGGTTGAAATTAGGAGAATATGTAGATCCAGATTGGAATAAATTTAAGGCTTACAACTACGGGCTCAGGGGGCCCTTTAAGCTTACTTAGGCCCTAAGTGCCGGTCCGGCCCCCACGGAAACCCGGGTCGTGACAAGGTGTATCATAGAGCAAAAGTTCATAAGGTCTAGATGTCACTGCGGAGTATTCTCTTGACATAGTCTTCCTTGCTTTCCTCTTCAGCGTTGTTCGCAGTCAGGTTAAAGTCAAGTCGTTTAATGATTAAAATTTGTATCCTTGTCCTTTAGAGATGTGATTTAGCTAAAGGTGCTAAGGGGATGGTTTAAACTTAAACTAGAATCCTTCTATGGAATAAATAATATTCATATATAATCTAAGTAGGTAAGAAGATAAGTTATACAGGATTAATAAGTTGAAGTTAGATGATGAAAGTGTGCTATTTTTATTTAATACGTGTTGAATATGGAATACATATATAAAAATGCAGGAATGTGTGTGTATATGTGTGCCTGCGGAATTGAGAATGAGTTGCTAATTATTTATTAAAAGAACTAAATGATTCGGATTCGAGGACATTAGAGTCTATTTAATTATTAGAGTATTGAATGAGTATATGAATTTGATGAAATTTACATGATGTTGGTTAGTGGAATTTCTTATATTTATTGAGATAAATATTTTTCTGGATGGAATGGATATACATGATTTTTATAAGGTTTGAATATTGAAGGATTTGGTGTGATTTGGTATAACAATTGGTGGCGAGTATTTTTCATAAAGAATAATATTAGTGGAATTATTATATGGTAGAGTGTATTGTTGTATTCATCAACTATTTTTTAGGTGTGTGAATATAAGGAATAATATAAATTATTGTGGTTATAAGAAAAGTAAATTGTGATTCTTAGCAAAAGATAAATTACTCTAATCTTTATGTATCTTAGTAAGAGATAAATTACTTTAATCCTTATGTACCTAGTGATGGATATTGTGTGGATTGTGCCACCTTATGGTTTAATATGGAATAAGTAAGAATCAAATCTAATGGGAATTAGTCTGTTGATGTTTAAAATAATTGTTGCACACTAGATGATATGTAAATTACATTTTTGTTTAACGGGAGATTCTATGATCCGAGGAACGACTCTATAAGAGAATTATGTAAATAGTGGACTATGATGATTAAATGTATTGATGAATGACATCGGACATGGAGAGTAATTGTCCAATTATTGAATTGATGTTATACTAAATTAGATAAGTAAGGTTGGATCTAGTCCTGTTATTGTATAGATATTAAGAGAAGAATCAATTACAGAAACGTGAAGAGTATAAATTAATATGATTTAAATGAGGATAGTCAGTATTTAGAGGTTTAATAAATTAGGGATTATGGGTAAAATTTGGGTCATTGTTATTAAAATTGATAAAAAATAGGAGTGATGATGTATTAGGGGAGATACCTCAGCAGCTTTAAGATAAAGACTTCTATATTTTGGGAATTCATGAGTGTATTAGACGGGACATAAGTAAGACCCTAGTATATGTAGGATGTTTAATAAGCCAGACTAAGTTTATGGATCTAGTATGATAAAATGAAAGTAAAAGATAATAGAGGAAACTAGTGGACTTGGGATTGGAACGCTATTATGTTGGGTGATAATTATATTAGAAAATGATAATTAGAATATAATTTGAAGGAGAAACAATTTGTGTAATTGTAAAGTTCTGTTATGATTGTTAAAAAAAAAAAAAAAAAAAAGAAGATAAGGTGGATATTAAGAATTTAAATGATCATAAATAGTAATTTATGCTTTAAAATAATTATCACTGTCGGTGATAATTCTAATAGAATATTAAACAAATAATTGATAATGTTATAACCAAACTTTTGAGTTGAGTTAATCAGGTCCTTGCGAGGTGAGTTTCGAGAATTTTGTGGTCCATATATAGTAAATTTATATTCTAAAAAGAGATCAAAGGTAGGAAGTTATTGAATGTCTTGTGTAATCCCGATGACAAAAGAATTTAGTACTTATATTCAGAAAGAAAGATAGACTTTCTATTGGAGAGAAAGAGAGAAGAGAATTTTGACTACTGTAATTTGATAGCATCTAGTTGGAATAATAGTTGATAAAGGATCACGGGACTTAGCTTGAGACGACAACGAATGTAAATAAATTTAATTTCTTGACGTAAAGCAATTAAAATAAGGAATTTCTATTGATTAGTGCAACTTTTGCAAGTTGCTTGTTTTATTAGATAAAGAAGGGAAGTTATATTTATGTCCTTGGTAGAACATGAAGAGAAGAAAAATTATAATTATGACCCTAGTAGAACATAAAGGTAGTTGGAATATTTGCATTTGGTAACAAACTAGCTGAGTTTTAATTACTATTGGTTGGAACAGTGAAATTTGGTATAAGAATAAATAGGTGAGTTTGGAAAATACATGCTAGTACTTAAAGACTAAAAATATAAACTAGAGGATTATTGGATGTGATAACAGGATGGTTTAAGACTACATCTTGATTATATTGGAGTGCCAACTCATGTGTGTCGATCAGATCACTAATCAATTCAAATTACTCATGGGACTATTGAGGTACCAATTAGAGCGAAAATTATTGATACATAATGTAGAGTCAATGTAAACCTACTCTGAATTCCTTAGCAATTGGTAGCAATTATGATTGAATGAATAAAATTGTGTTATAAATGGAGTTTGCGACATATCTAATGGTTTAAAGAAATATTTAATTAGTTAGGTGCATTTGAGGACTGGTACATTGAAACTCAGACGTTGAGGAATTCAATGAGCTATTAACCCTGTTTGGAGTAAAGAATATAGAGAGAACATAATTAAGGTTGAAAATCTTCCTAGATCGTATTAGGTATAAATTTTACTAATTAAGGTTGAGCATATTCTTAGATCGTATAAGGTATAAATTGTACAAATCTTGGAGGTGATAGACTTGGAGAAAAGGAATAACCTAATGTTATTATTATCTGAATATTCATTTAAGAATAAACATAAAACAAAGGACATAGTTCAATTCGAAGTTGGATTATAGGTTTAGTTTCTTTAATCTCCTACTGAGCTAGAGTAAAAAGGCACTACTTGTTTAGGATTTCTGGATACGTAGACCTAGGTAAACTGGATATAAATTACGGTTTGGAGAATTTTACATCTTGATTAAGCTTGTAAAAAAAAAAAAATGTAGACTGGATTTCATTATGGAATGGAGTATAAATAAGAACGTGTTTGCGAATTTAGAAAAATAATTAAAGAATTATTCGCAATGGCAAAACTTAATTTGGCTAGTTGCATAAGTTTGTTGTCATAAATTAGTTTAAGAAATGGTATGATATGATAATTCGGGAAGAAGGATAGAGAGTAATAACTAAATAGAGACTTGATTGTGAATTGAAATTTCTCTATATAGTCGGTTTGTTTGTTTTTTTATGAGAATCTCCATTAAGGAATTAGAAATAAATTATAATACTTTTGTTGGAAATAGTTAAGTTTGATAAAATAGTGAATGAGATTGGGATAATTTGATAATAATCGAAAACTTTCTTGAGTTGGCAGCAATCATCTTATTTAGTTATGAACAACTTCAATGATTATGAGGGCAAATATATGGAATTGGAATTGATGCAAAATGGATTGAGTCGGCATGTAGGTTTTGAATTTTAAAATAAGGAGTCCAAATTGGAATAGTAATAAATTTGATTGAATATGTGGATTCTTATATCAGTAAGATTACATACTGAGTTGGTGTATGAGTTTCTTATGGAGTGATGATCATTGCCTATGATAGCTAGTGAGAGAATAAATGACGATACATCAATGTAAGGACACATGATATAGAGGTAATGAGATCAATAACCCTTACTTGAGCAGATGTTATAAGTGAATGAAATTCTTACGTGTAAAGGTGAATATTAGTGTCGAATCTGTGCTTTAAGTTATGAATATTTGACTTGAGGGGACAACTTGTAGACATAGTATAATTTACGTTTAAATTAACTATGGTGATAAGGTAGATAACTTTAGGGATGGATTTATCTTATAATCATCTTACCCTCTCTATAAATTAGATTTTCTTCCCTGGTCTGTTCATTGGTTTGTCTTAATTAATAAATTTAAGAAAAAAATTAGATTCACCACTCTGACTAACGAACTTGCAACTTTATGTGAGAAGCATAACCACCACTCATATATACTATGATCTTATCTTGCTTGTTTCAAAAATTCGAGGACGAATTTTTTTTTTTAAGGGGGAAGACTGAAACAACCTAAATTTTTATTTTCAAAACATTTTCCAATTAAATTTAATGAACCGACAGCCTGGAAATTCATATTAATATTTTAATGCGAACACTGTGAGAAACCGAACGATTGAAAAAGCCGAAAACCAATTGAAAATCAAAGATTTGGGTCGAACCGAATCGAATCGGTTCGACCCAAACCATCTAGAAAATTCCCTTTCTTTTTTTTATCTCCAGCACTGCACCTCTACTCCTCGCCCTCACCAGCGCCTCACCTCTACTCCACCTGCAGCACCACCGACACTGCCACCGCCGTCTCCTCCTCCTCTCTTCTTCTTCTTCTTCTTTCTTTTCTTTTCTTTCTTCTTCCCTGCGTCTGTCTGCGTGTGACTGGCGAGAGACAGCAGATCTCAGCAACGTCAGTCGATCACCACCGCGTGCCAGTTGCAGTCGCACCGCCTCCATCGCGCGCCAGCACGTCCTGCAGCTCCTCCGCGTGCCACAGTCAGCCCTCTGCCAGGCCTGTCGCGCCTACAATAGCAGCACCAACTTCAAGCCTCGCTGCCAGCCGCTCCTCCGCCAGATCGTGTGCCACCGCCGCCGATCGCCACTGTCTTTGCCTCTCTCCGCCACTGTCAGTTGGATCCGGCCACTGGCAGTTACCGCCCTTCGATCCGGCACGCGTAAAAACTCCCGATCTAGCAAAAAATATATTTTGGGGGTAACAAAATTAATGTTAATAATTTTAGTTACTTAAATTAATTTTTATAATTTAACTTAGTAATTTTAGTTAATTAAATTAATTTTAGTAATCTTGATTAGGTAATTTAATTTAGCAAATTTGATTAGTTGAATTAATTTAATTTAGTGTTGATGAGTCGATTAATAAAAATATATTTGATTAATTAAAATTAAATTCTGGTAAATAGCTTTGTAATTTTAGTGTGATTTAATTAAAATAGTTTAAATATAATGTTATTGTAATATATGATTTGGATTCTGTGGTGATTTTGAGATTGATGGAGGATGGAAATTTGATTGATTGATTGCCCGATGGAATGGGCTGTGTGGTTTGGAAATATTTGATATCGTTGATATTTTTAACAGGTGGATAGTCCAATTTTTTAGGGGAGATGCTGCCGAAATTTCGGTAGAAATATAAAAGAAATTTTGGTAGAAAAAAAAAAATAATAATAATAATAAAAAAATAAATTTCGGTAAGAAATAAAATACAAGTCAAAAGGAAATAAATAAAATAGTGTTCGGTAGAAATATAAATTATTATAAAAATTCTTAATGGTAAAGATAAATTGTCTGATAGAATATATTTTCTTTTGTGTCGTTCTTCTTTCTTAGATCGCCCGGGTTCCATCCAGTGCTTCCCTTCAAGACAACAATCAAGCCTGGAATTTCGCTCTCTCACTGTGAAATAATAATAAAATAATGCAATATCAAACATGCATTGCATAGCAATTTTTTTACAAACGCTTATATATAATTTTTATTATTAGCTCATTTAATATTTATTGCATAATTGTATATTTGGATGGTATTTGGTGAGTAGTTGAAAATTGTTTGAATAATTTGTTGTTTGGCTGCTTATTTGTGACTTATGTTTGTGTGGAAATTAGGATGAAGTTGGGTCACCAATGGGTTTTTTTGAGACCGTTACCGATAGTCCTATATGTTATCGGTACCGTTATATGGATCCTGATTACCGTTAGCCGGGTAAAATGGGAAGATCGGCGCCGCCCGTGTCAAGGTGTGCACCTACCTTACGTTACTGTTAACCCACCAGGTTGGCTTCTTTATTGGGGGGCGCACCGGATAATCTAGATTTTATGATCGCAGCCCCGCAGGGTGGCCTCCTGTTGTGAAAGCGCCTATGATCTAGATTTGATGGAGACGACCGTGTTGCCTCCTGTTTGGGTATGGAAAAGAAAGAGAGAAATGGAAACAATGAGAGGAATGGTCCAAAGTGAGGATTAGATCGGTCAGCCAAGTATGGGGGATCGGCTCCCTGGTGCAACATGTGAGAGGGATGCCATGTGGGAGGAACGGCTCATCGGGGGGTTTCGGTGACTCCACTGAACTAATTTCCACGTGATGTGATTATTTGAAGGTGAAATTGTTGTGGGTGCCTGATGTAATGTCATATGAATTTGACTGTTTGTTGTTTCATTCAGTATACTGAGTGCATATTTTGCTTGACCTGTATGTGGTGTGTATTATTTATTATTATTCACTGAGTGCAAACTCAACCCCCCTTCTCTCAAACCTCCCAGGTACTAGGAAGCAGCTGATTCGAACTAAGCTTTGGCAATCTTCTCCGCAGAGTTAACAAAATGTAAACTTTATATGTTCTGTTATTTCCTTATGGATGTAATAATTATTAATTCTAATTATCAGATATTTTTGAACTCCGCGTTTATAGGGTTGTGTATTAAATTGGACTTATTGGTTACACCTACACTATAAATTAAAATTATGTTAATAGCTGGCAGGTGAAAACCAGTAAGCCTTAATTGTGATTAAATAATTATTGTGAATAGGGCCCAGGTATGATATTATGGTTATTTGAGATTGGGCCCAGACGTTTATATATGGGTTTACTGTTTTTGGCAGAAATCAGGACAGATAGGTCGATAATTATATATTATGTGTTATTTGAGATTGGGCCAGACGTTTATATATGGGTTTACTGTTTTGAAGAAATCAGGACAGATAGGTCGATAGATTAGATGAGTTAGGCTTACTACGGGCCTCGGGGGCCTTAAGCTTACCTGGGCCTTAGTGCCGGTCCGTCCCACGGAATCGGGTCGTGACAATGATACTGTCTAAATCAAATAAATCATAATTCTTGTTCATCATCGTTCTTTGGTAAATATATAATGACTTAAAAGGCTGAATTAAGTCATTTAAAAAAAATATCTGAATTAAGAGCTTATGGGACTTATTTGATATCATTTGCTATTATTTTTGAGTAAATTACTATTTAGTTCTTTGGATGTACTCAAATAATAGCCATGACTCATTTTTTCAGAATTAATGTACAAAGTCATTTCTTTTTCCCTCATTATATTTAGTAATTTTAATTAATTTTTCTTTCAATACACTGGTAGAACAATTAATTAGTACTCCCCCATTCTCTTTATTTAAAGAAAACATAAAAAGCTATTGGATTAAAAAAGTTAGTTAAATTAAGTTTTCTCTCTAAAATGCTCTTCATTTCATCATTAATTATGAGAACAATAGCTAATATAAAAAGCAGTCTCAAGAAGTGCATTGAGCGTCATTTCCAACCTTTTTTATCAACTCTATCTGACTTTACTAGATGGGGACGTTTTACACAATACGTGCACAAAAATGAAAAAAATTTTAAACCAAATTAAAGACCAAATTTTTGAACTTATTCATTGAAAGCCATAAATTTTCAAAATTTTCGGCAAAAATAAAGGAGGGAAAACTTAAATTTTGGCTCTAAGTTGTTTAAATTTGAATAATTTTTCAATTCAAATTCAAATTAAAATGCAAAATTTGGTTTCTCCAAATCTAAATGAAATTTAGAAAGTAACGCCTAAATGCAATATATTGCAGTCAAAATGAAATAGAATTTGGAGCACAATTTTTATAGTTTACAATCAGACTCCTCGACTTCTAAACCTTGGCCCACATATAAATGAATCACAGTTAATGATCTGATTTAAGAAAAATCTATTCACTTCTCTATAACATCTAAATCAGTCACACTATATCCAAAAATGGTCATTACTTTGCTTCCTCCAGACTTGAATCCTATACATAATAAAGTAGAAATGGCTATGGTTGTCTCTCTATGAATTAATGACATTAATTTTCTTCTCAATTTGTAATCTTGCTATCTTATCTTATCAATTTATATTTATATACTTACACGTTCCTAAAAATTGCTTGACCTATTGTAT